TGTGGTGGTGGGGCGGGGGGGGGGCAGCCCCGGGGCAGTCCTGTATGACCTGCCGGGGTTGCACCCCAGCGTGGCAGGTGTTTCTGCTTTGATGCCCGCCCTTAGCTGCTGCATTGTAGCTCCTTAGCTGGGGCTGCAACAGAAACGAGCGTTTAAAGTTAAAGAAAGGAAGATGCGGTGAAATTTTACAAATAAAAGGGGCCTCCACAGGGCTCGTCACTAGGGTTTGGAGTACGGTCGCTGTGGGACCTGGCTCAGGCACCGCTGTGCCTCAACAGCTCAGCCCCTTCCAGCCCAAAAGATGGATGGATCCAGCCGCCACCCAGGCTCTGCTGCTGGGGGCAGGGACACGCCCACTCCCACTGCTGTCCCGGGAGGAGATGCCGGCTGTGGGGGGACAGGGCTGGGTGCTGGCACGGCGGAGCCCCAGGTCCCCATCAGCCCGGGCTGGGAGAACCACGCTGCTGACAAGCGGTCAGAGGGGTGAATTTGGGCCAGAGACACCTGAACAGAGGTCCCGGGGTGCCCAGCGAGCCCCAAGGCAGCAAAGCCAAGGCTGCAGGAGAGCCCTGGGGTGCTTCTCCCACCCCACCCCACCTGCTGCTGGACCTCCAGGACCGGCCAAGACCCTTTCTCTCCCACAGCACCCACCCCACTGCCCTCCCTGGGGCTGGGTGCCTCTCGCCTGCCTTCTCCAACCACTGGTGTCTTCCCTTCACCACCAGCCCCTGAGGCCATGTCACAAGGTGCTCCAGGCGCATCTCGAGCCAGGACACAAACCCCGGGCCCACTGCACATGAAGGCGAGACCCACCTTAGCTTCACCACCACCTCGTGGTGGTGCCACTGGAGGACCAGCCCTGCCGAGCCCAGGGGCACACGCAGAGCACCCCGCTGTGTGCTGTGGGTGCCCCAAGCATCGTGTGGGGCCCGGCTGGGCCCCCTTGGTCTCTGGCCCCTCTGGGCTGTGTGTTCTCCTCAGTAGTTGTTAGTTACATGGTCCGTGAGAGAGAGCTCTGTGCCCTGGGAGCGGGGAGCTGCTGGGGGGGGGCTCAGCTCCCCCCAGGACAAACCCTGCAGCCCTCCCTGGGGACCAGGTGCCAGCCCAGCTCTCTCCTCTTGCCCTAAGGGAGGACGTGGCTGTCTCCGCAGCCCGACTCGTGGGCTTGTTGGTAAAACCTCCCCCAAGCCGCTTCCCCGGGCGCTGGGTGCCTGTTGTGGTGGGGCAGGGAGGGGGCAGCCCCGGGGCAGTCCTGTATGACCTGCCGGGGTTGCACCCCAGCGTGGCAGGTGTTTCTGCTTTGATGCCCAGACTTAGCTGCTGCATTGTAGCTCCTTAGCTGGGGCTGCAACAGAAACGAGCGTTTGAAGTTAAAGAAAGGAAGATGCGGTGAAATTTTACAAATAAAAGGGGCCTCCACAGGGCTCGTCACTAGGGTTTGGAGTACGGTCGCTGTGGGACCTGGCTCAGGCACCGCTGTGCCTCAACAGCTCAGCCCCTTCCAGCCCAAAAGATGGATGGATCCAGCCGCCACCCAGGCTCTGCTGCTGGGGGCAGGGACACGCCCACTCCCACTGCTGTCCCGGGAGGAGATGCCGGCTGTGGGGGGACAGGGCTGGGTGCTGGCACGGCGGAGCCCCAGGTCCCCATCAGCCCGGGCTGGGAGAACCACGCTGCTGACAAGCGGTCAGAGGGGTGAATTTGGGCCAGAGACACCTGAACAGAGGTCCCGGGGTGCCCAGCGAGCCCCAAGGCAGCAAAGCCAAGGCTGCAGGAGAGACCTGGGGTGCTTCTCCCACCCCACCCCACC